TTTGCCCTTAGTCGCTACCTTGGACATGTGCGCATTCCACGAGCAGTCTTTTGCGATCTCTACTCCGAGGTATGTGTACTGGTCCACTACTACAATATCCTCGATCCCCCACTTCCATCTATGTTCTACTGGTTCCTCCTTGTTCTCGTTGCATACCATGACGGCACTCTTCTGAACGTTGGCAGACAGTCTCCACTTATCAGTAAACTTCTTCACCGCGTCAATTTGCAGTTGCAGTCCCTCAGGGGTGTCCGACATACCGACAAAATCATCCGCAAACAGCATTCCTGAAACCGACGTTTCCGTGTCCCCTACTTTTACTCCCTTCCGGACTGCCTCTACGACTTCCAACAGATCGTCGGTGAACACCTGGAACAATGTTGGGGACAGCGTGCAACCTTGTGGGACCCCCTGCTCATTTGTAGGGGGGTCAAGAAAAAAAAAAAACGTCGAAAAAGCGGTATCACCACGCGCGGTGCGGGACTGGGGTCATCTCGCGCTGCGCTCGGCCCTTCCGGCGCTCAGGGAAATGCCTGGTACAATGTACACCAATGACGACTGTTTGAGAGAATATTACATTAAGCTCTGGATGCCACAAAAAGGTAGGCTTTGCCGTTGAGGTACATTCAACGAGTTGTTGGGTTGTGTCGGATGAATTTTGTACTGTATGGTACAGTGACATCCAAGGAACCATTGATATTGTTGAACAAAGGCCTTACCGCCCGCGTACCGCCCGCGTACCGCGGGGTGTACGGGGATTGGATCCTGTCCCTTGTTACTGTTTGCATGAGATCCTACACCAATGGTATGCACTATAATATGTGGAGGTTCCCCTTCGTAAAGGGTACAACCTTCCCAGAGTATGTCGAGGACGATTCCCTCCTATTCTACAGAAGAGAAAGATGCCGGGGTGGCGGATATGATTAAACCCGGGTTCTCTTCCGCCAAAAGCGTACGTCTCTCGGTCGACGCCAACGTGAACGGGGGGAGTCGTCCTCGACGTCGTTGTTCCTCGGCGCTCCTAGCACGTAGGGCGAGCTTGTGCTAGTGTTGGCGTGCGTGCGTGCTGTCGCTTTCCTGGCGGTGGTGCGACACAGCAGACCTCGGCCAGAACAGCGACAGCACGCCCGCGCTCCAGCGTCAGCACCAAGCTCGCCTACGCACTGGGAGCACCGCAGAAGAACAGCGATGTCGAGGACGATCCCCTCCTTTTACAGCATGCCAAGAACAAGGATGCTTTGCTATTCCAGCAAACACAAGGTTTCAACGTTTGGGGCACCCCTGGGCTAGCTACGTGCAACGCATGTGCTCCTTTTACTGCTGCTGCTGCTGCTGCTGCTGCTGCTGCTGCTGCTGCTGCTGCTCTCTCTCTCTCTTTCTCTCCCATGATGCATGAACTCATCCCCCACCTCTCTGCTGTCGACACTCTCTGCTCGCGACGCGAGGCTCTCGATATCGGCCTCCGCGGCAGAGTCAACGCTTTCCGTGTACCACACCACACACCCGTCCAGGTCCCGAAGCCCTGCCCAGCCAGAACCTCCGCCGACACCGGGAGGAGCTTGAGGTGGTGGAGGAGGCAGTGTCGATGAGTACGCCCTGCCACGACGTCGATGGTCATAACCTCGCGCGAATGTGCTCCTGAATGTGACGGCAGAAGACCCGAACTCAGCCCTTTCCGCACTCTTGTCGGCGTGCGCGGGTTGTTCTTCTCCCGCTGCTGGAGGTTCTCCAGCTGCTACTGTCCCTTCTGCTGCTACACTGGGTATCGCTGCCATGGGTAACGGAATACCGCCTCTCTCCCTCGCTGTCGGTGTGTTCTTTTCCCCCGCCGGACCCGCGGGCGGCGGAGTGTTCTTGGTGCCTCCGCAGCCGGCGTCAACCCCGGCCAGGTCGGTAGCCGCTGCCAACTTTCCACCGACGCTTTCGTGAGTCTCCGCTACAGGCATGTTTTTTCTTGTCAGGGAGCGCGCAGTCTCTCCTGTGTTCACATCATGGACGCGACAACAGAGAAGAGGGAAGCTGGTCGGTAGGAGTTAAATCAAAAGTTCACAGCAACCCCCCTCGTTCAACTTGTGCTGGGACCACAACCGCGGTGTACACAGCACACACCACTTTCCCCGTCCCGTTTGGTAGAGTAACGTGGCGAGACGGCCACGATGATGATGTCGGCAAGCGCACAAGCACAAGCGTGTCGAATCAACTCAGCGAGGGCTGCAGTACGTGTGCTGCAGTATGTGTAATAACAACGTGTCTCCTGAGGCGCATCTACAAGCCTTTTGCCAGCGCTTCTTGACATTCGATACTGACTGAGCACACGCATTGACGTGCGTGTTCTTATCACCTTCGTGTCGCGCTAGGCTCACTGAAGTGAACCTGAACTGAAGGCAGTGTTTCGATCACAGGTGATCACGCGTCTCCCTATCTCTCATCGCTCGGCGAGAGAGACGCTCTTCGACTAAGCACACGATTGTATTCGTGCGCGAGAGGAGTGTCCGCCCGGGGACAAAGTATCCTCGGGAATTTCGATCTAAGGCCTAATGTTATGGGGGATTCCAAATTGGAATTTTGGGGGGCTTCGTGAAAAAATGACTACCCACCCTGTGGAAATTTTCCTATGAAACCCCCCGAATTCCAAAATATCCTAAGTTATGGAGCCGCGGGAATCCCAAAAAATTCCAATTTGGAAATTTTCGGCCGGATCGAGCTGGAATCCGCCGGGGATTCCAACTCGATGCAGGGCAAATTCCAACCTGGAATCCTGGGGGATACGTGCAATGTTTAGTGGTAGGCACCTATTTTTTGAATCGACGCTCGAGATCGACCACACGACACAACAGCAGTGGTCAGTTTCAGCGAGGGCATGGTGCGCCTGCTGGAGCTTCGTGCGGTTTTGACCGTGCTCACGTTGGCGCTTGCCGCGCTTCATCATCAACAGCAGCTGTTGATGGGCGCGTTGCGGCGGCGGTTGCGCCAGGAGGATGGTGAAGATGAGGATGAACCTCCCCCCAAACGCCGAAGGCAGGTCGTGCCTAGAGCGGACTACCGCAGCATGCCTTGGGCTAAAATGCTAGAGAAGACAGACCTCCTGATGGACCCGACGACGAGAGAAGCGAAGCAGTTCCGCCGGAGGTTTCGCGTGCCCTACCCTTTCTTCGTCTCCCTCGTAAACGACGTGAAGGCGGGGAACTGGCCTGATTTCACGACCGACGAGTTTGAACTTGGCGGGAGAGGAAGCAGACGCTGCATCCCCGTGTAGATCAAGGTGTGTGGAGTGTGTTGACGCGCATGCCCTACAATAGCGTGACTTAGTTTGTGAGGAACATAGGGTTGTAACACGTCGCTACGGCGCCTTTTGAGTCAGGGTTCAATCTGGGGCAGACCAAAAAAAGAAGGAAAAGCACCTCGAAAAGCATCGTAGCTCCGCATCATCTGAGCCAGGCACATGCAGGCGTACCCTACGTAGCGGAAGCCGAGTGCGTTTCCTGCTCTTGGCACGAAGGGAGGGAGTTGGAAGTGAGCGGGGTTGGAGTTGAGCGGGGCTGTTGTAGCCTTGTAGCACTTAGATTCACGCGTCGGTCCTCCTGAGCGAACGTGGTGGTAAGGGACAAACTGTATATGAAGGCGGCGGCAGGGATAGACACGTTGAGCGGGTGTCTCTTCTACTTCCATCCACCCTGAAACGGTTGTGTTTCACCAAAACACATAGCGGAACGCAGGTCGCCCTAGCCTCTCCCTCTTCACCTCCTCAACAGCGGTGCGGGATGTGCAATCTTCCTTGTTGCGCCCCTCGTTTGTACTTGCGACTAGCCGCTGTGCCGCTGTGTCTCTCACGCGACGTGTGTCAAGGGCACGCCATTCATGCGTGAAAAAGGGTGTATTTTTTGCTCACAAAGGAATTCTCGGCGTACAAACCACTGAATGCCATGCATGAACACGAAAACGGAAGGAATTTGCAAGGACAGTAAGGGGGGAACGAACTCTTCAGGTATCACATCAAAACCAAACATGGACGGCCATGGGCAACTATGC